GAAGGGGAGAGTTGTCAGCCTGTCTGTCCCCAGTCCTCACTTAGAATGAGTCTGTCAGCTGTTCTCCATGCATGACTCTGCACTGTAATCTGTCGTATGAATTCCAGTTAATGTTGAAGATCATCTCAGCCATTCACACCATAGTGTCTAAGAAGTTTTCATAAAGTCCTCCTATCCACACTGTCAAATGCTGTCACACAGTTGGGAAAATTGATGTATAGTGACGAGCTCCACTCAAATGATTGCTCCACAATGATCCGTAGTGTCGCAATTTGGTCTGCACACGACCGATCCTTACGTAATTCGGTCTGTTGATCTTGGAATTGAACATTTACTGAATCTTTCACCCAGCCTAGCAACACCCTGTTGTAAACCTTTCATGGTAATGACAGCAGTGTGATGCCACTGTAGTTCTCGAATCTCCTTTCTGTGGTTTCTTGATTAGGTGTCCTTCTCTTTATTCCGTCGACACTCCTTTTTCCTCTCAATTATTCCTGAGTAGAGTTCCAAGCATGTTTGTAGTTGCTTCTGTGTCCGACTTCAGTGCTTCAAGTGGTATATTATTGGGATTGCTGCTTTCTCACTCTTCATTTTTCCGATGGCCATATTGATTTCTTCGATCGATGGTGGAGTAACATCTATAATAAGGACTGTGTGTGCTGCTTCGATATGCAGCGGGTTCACTGGAGCTGGCCTATTCAAGAGTCCCTCAAAGTTGCTCCACCCATCTGTTTCTCAGTTCTTGAATCTCAGTGATTTACTTTCCTTCTATTCCCTTGGCCAGTCTCTCTGGTTTACTATATTTCCCTGATAGTTTCCTCGTCGTGTCATATAGCCTTTTCATATTTCTCTTTCTTGCTCTCCTAACCCTTCCACATATTTCTGCTTGTCAACTCTAATGCTCCCATTCACTTGCTTGTTTGCTTCAGTGTATTCACTTTGTGCCTTAACTTTCTCTGCTCTTGTTCAGGTGTTGTTAAAGAATGTTGCTCTGTTCTTTCTTTCTTGAATCCTATCCAAAGTACTCTACAGTGGTGAGGACCAACGATCCCGAATGTGGAACCCGAACACAGGAACTTCGGTCCCTCTTAAGTACCCTATAATTTCTAAGTAAAGGGGCCGGCACCCAACAGCGTAAATGTCTAACTCTAAACAACTCAGGATATTGCGCGGCTATTCTCTATTGATAACAATCTCCACAACCGTATGACGATAATTCTCACAAGTTAGTTACACTTTATGATGACCGAGGTTATTATCATTCATTAGGAGGGTAAAGATTTCTTCACATAATTTGAACTTGACATCATCGCACAAACTAAAATAAAGCGAATCCCACGACAGCGGATCTAATGGTAAATATGCCTTAACACAAATATACAAAGATCATTAACGACAAAGCTGAAATGATTCTCATGAAATGATTCTCGATATTGCTTCCATTTCATACCACAAGCGAACATCATATTTTTCCTTCCGACATTAAGTAAAACTAATATGACTTGTATATGTCGAAAATCACGTACAAATAACACTACGTAATGTATACATTTATAGATTATAATGATCACAGTGACCTAAGAGTAAAGTGGTATGTAAAAAGTTCGGTTATTGATTATTTCAGGCAATTTTTATACATCAAGATTTCTCCTATTGTCAAGTTCTCTGGCTTCACATGCTCTTCACTAAACAGTTGGAATAATGAAAACAATTCCTATTTGCTGACTGACCTATGTCACAATATGCTGACAAAATGAAATAGATCCATGGGTGGAACATTAGTGCGTACTTTTTATTCTGCTATTTATGTGATTCCACATTTAGTACAACTACTGACCGTTACATACTAAACTGTGGTGATCAAAGTACTGTCTGATCCAGGTGGGTTGCCATGAAATGCTGGTCGATTATAAAGACCTACGTCGAGCTTTGAGGCATTGCAAATTATTACTAATGAAAACGGAACTTAAAATATACAAAGGTACGAAGCCAATTACTGTAACTATTTACAATGTATTTCAGGACGGTCGTAATACTATGTACCTATCGCATCCTCCTTGAAAATATATAAAACACACGTAGAATGCAACATCATAGTTACTTTCCCCATTTAATAATGCACACATATAACATTACTAGATACAATAATAGGAATACATTCACGTCTATTCGTAAATGGCTCTAAAAAGGACATTCATCCGTCCTTTAGTTTCTATTCCCTTGCTTAGAATATTACGTTTTGCGATGACAGCATGCCTTATGACGAGTCGTTTTTCATACCATGTTTGAGTACACAGTGTTTCTTGTCAGTCGGTGCAGCATCAAAATGTGTGTGTCGCTTCCATTAAACTGAACATTTGATTATAGCACATTTGACCACTTTTATTTCTTCAGCAATAACTGTTCTCCAATATATGGTAGAAACATGGGATCTGACGCTTCTGTCATGGAGGGGTAATTTTGTAAACTAGAAGGCAAATTTATCAACTACGAAATGAACCTACCCAAAATTATTCCGACATTACAGAACGCCTGAATATTTTTTCCCATTTTATTCTTCTCAATTCTGCTGACAGTTGACGACTAAATGAAAAGTGTCACACACTTTGCATGACATTTTAAATTAAACAAGAATTCGATACTTGTTCGGATCTGTTTCCACCACTGCAGCCGCTGTCGTCCTTGACGGTTTCAAGAAAATTTGGATTATTGTTTGGCACTTAAAGAATTGTGGACATCAGAAGGGCAGCACTGAAAACGCCGGCCGAGTGAAGGAGATGGAGGTTAGCATGCTCATTATATTCATTTCCAAAGCCATAATTCGAAGGCGAAATAAATCTTTGTTGTTGGTCTGCTGTAACACTTTGTGTTGCATATTCAAGGCACTCTGCTGATCCACCTGTGTAGATTAAGCCATCATGAAATTATATTATATATCTGACTAACTTACAACAATCAATAATTGACGTCTGAGTTTGTAGCCAATACCAGGTAATATCAAGGAAATTATCACCTTTCATATTACTTTTTCGGAAACAATAATCAATAACTTCATTTTTAGAACTGTTCATTGGGTTAGAGAAACTGATGAATAAGGTTTTAATGTTAAGAAATATAGACATCGCTGTGTTGCAAACGCTATTTTTTAAACAATGTCTCATAAACCAAAATATCTATTTCTGAGGAATCGAAGTCAATTGTGCGCATTTGTGAATAAGACATCCTTCGCTGTCGGGACGCAGATTAAGAAACACTTTATCAAAAGAGCATTTAATAGGGGTTAATAAACTTTTCCACCTCTAAAACTGTTTTTACTCCCTGGAAAATAAGAGCTAGTCACTTAGTTCCTAAATATCCAAGCAGTGGTCCTAAGCCTGCAAATGTCGGAGCCAAATATTTGTTTTTTGATTCAGTTATAAGTTCTCAAAATTTTCAAAAGCAATTGCTATAGTATGCACACATTACAGAAAAAACCTCACTGACAAGCGAAAGACTATCAGTTAAGCGGTCATTTCAAATTCGAGTTGGACGAGAAGAACGCCGTTAGCAGTCCCGCTACATGATCACCAAAAGCATAAGAATCAGTCAGCATAGAGGTTCATGGATTACTTTAGCGAGTATGTGATAGTCAGAACAAAGCTTACAGACATGGTGTGTAACAGTAGAGTCAACTATCACATAACGTAGTCCTTCAGACCACAACGGCAATTAATGTGTTCGCGCCACTCCTACCGTTAAACCCCACGATAACTAAGTCTTTGTGTCTGAGAACTTCAGAAACCGAGAAGACTTCAGTGAGACCCTTTAGATCTGGTACGGCTCCATAAATAGCCTCTTCCATCACATCATACATTGTGACAGCCGACATCAATCGGTAGGACAGTTGCAGGAAAGCTTTAAAAACACATTTTGGTGTCGATTGAACTTCATCAACAATCCATGATCCAGAACCCAAATACCATGTTCCTGCTAATGAAATATGGTACACAGGCAAAAACATGCACCGCCCGGTTCCACAGGACTTGCTTACTCACGTCAAATAACAACCTTTTTAAATACTTAAAACATACACCACTGCAGACGAGCACTACGTGATGAAATAAAACATCAAATGCCTCTATAGCAATGTAAGATGACTAAGTTATGAACTATGAGGAGTCAGAAACTTGTGTGTTAGGTTGGATTTGGAGATCATAGTCCTAAATGAAGCGTAGCTATCCTCTGATATCACTGACGAAAAGTGAGCATGCCAGGCATGGAGTGATTCCGATTCAATTGGGTATATAAAAAGCGAAGCGAAGTGCCGATACAAATTAACGACCGCTTCAAAGCCGAAGCACAAACCTTGAGTGAGCAGACAGAATCATGCTAGTATTGCCTCGATGGAAACAGAGGAAAAGACCAGCATTCCACAAAAGTAAAATTATCCGGGCTGGATTACAGCAATCACACCCCCAAATGTTACATATTCCTCATAGAATCTTTCCATATCATGGGGCAGTTGGACGACCTGTTTGGACCGAGAGATGATGGTCCATGTATTGTCTTTTTACTTTAAGCATTCGACCTACAACAGCATGTAATCATGGATATGGCTGTGAAAATAGGTTTCACTGACCCAAGTTTATCTTGAATCCTAAACTTCATGGAGAAAAATATATTTATGATCAGATTAAAAGGATTCCACTCAGGCCAGATGATCTGAAAGAGGGAGATCTTGACAAACTCGTGCTCATGCACTGCCATCTTCCGCTTGGACTAGCTGTACTTGTTGCATGCTTATAACCTACCTGCTGTTATCACTACCACATTTTGTGAACCTACTTATTTTTCGCCTATAATCGTCTCCGTTCCCCATTTTGTTCTTAAACTTGAGCCTCCTCACAGTCTTCAATCGTAATTAATTAACTTATTTGTTTATTTTTCTAGTTCTTGAAACGACCATCTCTTAATAATCGATTTTCTCTTTTTCTTCACGTTGAAATTAACCATTCAACCTCCTGCTTGATGGTATAATAGCTGTTGATATCCAAAAGTGTTGCTGTCTTGAGATAACCAAACTAGCTAAAAATACAACATATACAAACCTAGAAAGCTATAAAACTGACAGGAATTTGTACAATCCATTAACTGGACTGGATATTAACAAAGACCTGAAACCGTAACGAACTAACAAGAAGCGAGATCAAAGGAATCAATCAGCTTATTTAAACTCGTGATTTTAAAAAAAATTATATTCGATCCTACATGAAGTATATTTCCTAGGCCATTCTCAAAACGCAAACTGTGGAGGCGGGCATTTGGTTTTCATGAAGTCACTGCTAAAAAAGGCATTAAGTCAAATTGCTATTGTTCCAGCTCTGCCCGAGTCTCGGAGACCTGAGGTAAACTTTCATAACGTTTATCACGGTTCTTAGGTGCGATGTAAGTCCAGTAGGAAAAACCAAAGTAGAGGTCAACTAAAACGTCTTCGTAATGAATTATACCGAAAACATCATTCCAAAAAAGTTACTTGGAAAATATTTTCAAGTAAAAAGGGTACGTTGTTTTTTCCAGACTCAGAGCTTGTAACGTACTGTGTCTAATCGAGTAGCAGTTTATCAAGTTCTCACCTAATTCTATGCTACGTAACCCAGATTAACCTGTCGTCTTTAAACCGACAGGTCAACGTAAGACAGAAAAGTCAATATATTTGAAGGTGAATCCAACAAAAAATAAAACTATATTAAATGTTCTAGGCATCAGGTCGAAATTCCCAAACTATACTTTGAGCTGTTTATTAATCCACTTTTCCGTTAACGCATAATTACATGCTCCTGTCCTTAATATATTCTGTGTTCGCCGTTATTTGCAGCACAAAACAGACGTTTAAGTACAGTGAACTGAATTTAGAAACACTTAGTAACGGAAAATGAGATGATCGCACCTACTAGTACATACAGAATTCCACTGTCACTGACGAAAATCCGCAAAAAAGTTATAACTAGCAGGTTACGTGCTATTTATTTAGAATTTTCAACCCTGTATACCAATCACGCCCCCATTTCGTAAACCTGACTTGTTTAATTGTAGCACATGTAAGAAATTAAAGAATGATTTACTAGCAAGTTATGAATAAAATAGGGAGCGTTTCCAGAAATTGGGGTTTTAGTGTTACTATTCAAATTCTAATCAACTGTCCTGTGAATTCTGAAATATTAAAACCAACATTCACAACTAAACTGCAATACTTTTTTGTCGACAACTAGCAACGTAAAATAAGAATTACGTTTTTATTTGTTAACACTAAACACTACATTTATGGAACAGCGATATGAGGTTACCACTCCGAAGTGTTTGTCACATCTCTTCTTGTGATCTTTGCAGCAAATCTCTCATGTCATACTTCTTAGTGTTTTGATAAGTACAGTGTTTAACACTACACCAAATAATATATAAAAGTTGGAAATTAGTTCAAAATAATAACATGAGTATGAAATATAAAAATGTATTCATATAAACGTATGTAGCAGCAGAGCTATTGCCATAATTAATGCAGGTTACAGAAATTCACTCATAGTACACGTCGCTAATAGAGACCTATAATCGTTCAAAACTGACTACAGAGCGCATAAATGTAGCTGTCCCTGGGACGAGATGACTTATGGGTTAGTGAAAGCTCTTGATCCAACTAGCTCTTTTTTCCTTGATATCGGTGGTTACCCCATATTTTCCATTTATTATTACTGCATTATCCGTTTTAAATGAAGTTATAGTAGTATTTCTTGACGTAACTTTTTGTTTCTTAGAGTCGTACTTGATGGATATGTCTACCTTAGTTTCCGAAATGCTAACTTGAAACCTACTACGGGAAAATCCCGACCGTTGCTGCTACCTTGACGTGGTGGTCGGGCTTGCCTATCGTGATGAAGCAATCGAGCTATGCTGGCTGGAACAATCGTTCCTCGAGGTCCTACCATGCCAGACAGGTCGATTGAAGAGCGGTGAGACTAAAAGCAGCAAACCCAAGGTCCGAAGGCGAAGTCGTACTGCTGACTGTACAGAGGTGTGAAAGCAGTAAGGTGTTTCCTTCAGACAACCAGCATGACAGCGATGCTGCCTTCCCACAAGGAGGGGTGGGGTTAGAAAAGGTCGACCCTAAAAATGCACACCTCGCCTTATCCCACGGGTATCCGTCTCCGGCGGTAAGGTTTTTTTTTTGAAGAACGGAGCTAACACAAAAACTACCCACAAAAAGGTCGTGTGTGACCGACCTCAAGCAGTTGTCCCTTGGGCACTGCGGTCACGCTCTCCGGTCATTAAGACCACTTCTAACCCAATTTCCTTTTCAGGTACCTCTAGAAGAATCCTTCCACGGTGTAGGCAACCGGGAAGTGATAACTGCCCTCATACCTCTAACAACACTCAAGACCACTGTATTCATAATCAATCTCCTTCTTCAATTCCTACTACCTTGACTTTCAACACTAAACTTCCTCTCTCGGTTTCCTCCTCAAGTGTCACCATGGCCAACGATTCTAGTGCGCGAAACGCTGTCCCAGGTCTACTAAAACCTCGCTCCAAACTACACATTGGAGCCTTCAACGTACGTACCCTAAGTCAAATCGGTCAACAGGCCTCCTTAGCTAAAACCTTAGAGTCGCGTACCATTGATGTATGCTGTGTCTCCGAAACACGCATACAGGATCCTAGTGTGGTCATTCACCTGACCTCACCTCGCCAAAATGGACAGCCAACGAAATACACCCTCCGTGTATCTGGCGACCCGTTGGCTAGTTCTCGTGGACTTGCAGGTGTAGGTATAGCACTAAGTACAAGGCTGTCCACTATCCCCATTTTTGTTTAACTTCATTATAGACCTGTTGCTGCAAATGACACTCTCGTCGACTGAGTTTACAGGAATTGATCTCCTACCAGGGGGACCACTAAGCGACTTAGAATACGCAGATGACATAGTCCTGTTTGGTGAAGACGCTGACAAAATGCAGAGTCTTCTGTTGGAACTGAGTAATAATGCCAGGATGTTTGGGATGCGTTTCTCCCCATCCAAATGTAAATTGTTACTCCAGGACTGGCCTGCGTCAACACTCGAACTAAGGATAGGGAGTGAAGTAGTCGAACGCGTTGACAACTTCACTTATCTTGGAAGTCTGATCAGCCCTAATGGGTTGGTGTCTGACGAAATCTCAGCACGGATTCAAAAAGCTCGTTTGGCTTTTGCCAACTTACGTCACCTATGGCGAAGACGAGATATCCGTCTATCAATTAAGGGACGAGTATACTGCGCAGCAGTTCGCTCTGTTCTCCTTTACGGCTGCGAAACATGGCCATTAAGAGTAGAAGATACTCGTAGGTTACTAGTATTTGACCACAGATGCCTTAGAAATATTGCTCGCATCTGCTGGGATCACCGAGTAAGTAATAGTGAGGTTAGACGCAGGGTATTAGGTAACGATGGTAAATCAGTTGATGAGGTGATAAATCTTCATCGACTGAGATGGTTGGGCCATGTGTTACGTATGCCTGAACACCGATTACTACGACGCGCTATGATGACTAGTATTGGGGACGGTTGGAAGAGAGTTAGGGGCGGCCAAACCAAAACATGGCATCAGTGTTTGAAGTCACTAACTTCTAGCCTGAGCCATGTTGGCAGATGCAGACTACCTGGTTGGGGTCCGCGTGACTATCGTTATAAATGGTTGGAGACTCTAGGTGACATGGCTCAGAATCGATCACAATGGCGTAGGTGTATACACTCTTTATCTTCCCTTAAACCTTGAGATTAAAATTGCTTCATATCTCTCTTCCTTCCTGTACTATATCCTTCTATACAATCTTTCTTTATATACTACCATCACTAAATTAATTGCTTCTATGAATCCGGTGTTCATCTTGTTGTGCTAAAGAGGTATGGCAACTTGGACCGATGCATATATGTGCCTGGTCCTACGTTGTAGCTGACTGACTGACTACGGGAAAATAACTGTGATCTGCTTGCGTAGCCATAGGGTAAAAGCTATGTACTGTTTTTTAATCTCCCGCATATAAGACTCGAATGGAAAGCCCGATAGCGGATCTCAGGATTCACGCAAAGTAACGTCACCAACAAGCTCTTCGACTAATGTACGCTATAAACTAAGTGCTTGGGTCCGTAGCACCATTCACATTCTTCAAATCACATAAATAATTTCTAACTGATCCTGTTATACTGCTGCGAAACCTAGGGTGTGCTCACGCTAATGCTAAACGTCTAAAATTTAAGTACAAAGGTGGTGGTAATGACTGTAAAGAGGACAATGGACACTGTCACTACCCATACATATACAAAGTTTAATGTACGACACTTATGCTAAAAGTCTGAAGAAGTACCCTCAACACAAATCAAGATTAACTCATGCCTGTAACAATATTTTTACTCATACTTCAAGTTCGTTGTGAGGAATTGACCCATAAGTAGATTAATTTCTTCATTACACATAAATACCCCAAGTGCATTGAATCTGAAGGGGATCTTGAAACCATATTGATTAGTGTCTCAAAACTAGGATGTCCATGGTGTGAGTTGGTCGACTCTTAATAAAAACTCATCAGTTTGTGATGTATATTCACCGTTCGGAAATGTCATCCTTCAACGAAATGTCCCACTACTGCATGTCTATCGTAGCCTGCTTTTCCGTTGTAACTGTGTATTTAACGTCTGAACGAGCAGGAGTGTCAAACGTGACGGCAACCAGCTTAGTATCTATATATTTCATTCAAAGGGTTCAAGCTATTTAGTTGTTCTATAATATGCTGTTCCTTAGCTGACAAGGCTCGATGTAGAGTACGAGTAGCTGGCCAAATCTCTTGAATGTTAAGACACCAGTTTACTTAGAGTTACTCTGACCTCCTACATTGTCCTCGAAGCAGGTTATTCACTTTCTTCAACTCTAGAAAATGACAGCTTTTCAGTGGTAAAATCTTGTTTGCTCAGGTAATGCTAACGTTAGGTTTCATTATAAGTTTATTCGTCTATTCCCACTTCAATGCTTTCGGGGACGAACGCCCGACATGTTAAGAAGCAACATTGTAGATAGCTATATGTATCGTCTATCGCAGGACATATACAGACGCCGTGGCACCAGTACTCACCACGTTACTCACCATTATCTTCCGATAAATCGGCTTCGACAATTACTTGTAAAACATCACATATGAGCATTTTTCGACAGATGAGATTAATGTTTGAGAAGCTTTGGTGAGTTAACACAAACAAAACCGGAATCTCTGAAGAAGGAACATCACTGTCCCATTCAAATAGTGCAGTGTGTAATTTAAAACAAGTGTCACTGGTAACTAAGACAACGTGAAACAACTAGAAGTGATGTGAACGCTTAAAGGCTCCAAAAATTGTCCTTCGCAGTGGTTTTCGTAACTAAAAACAACTGATAATCACCTAGACGTTTACTGTTGAAGACTTCAGAATTAAGTCGATTGTGAACAGAAATAAGACAGTTTACTAGCAGTGGAATCCAGGACTCTTCAGCTGCATGTGCGTGCATCCAAACAACCATTACAAATACAGAAGTAGCCCCGGCTAAGTTGAACATTATTTGTTAGAATTCATCGTAGCAACCATGCACCTTTGAAATAAATAGGTGTTCATGGTGTATCATCAAGAATTTGCCAGTCCTGAATGCAATAGTGATTCATACAATGTCTTCATATATATTCGATTAAGTAATTGTAAGTAAGCACCTGAAACTTCAACTTAGAAATGCAATAAATTTGTTTATGTGGACGTATTCACAGTAAACCTTCTTTTCTTTAATTATTTTACAGACCCTCAGCCCAAACCTGACAAGTGCGGTTCTATCAAACCCAAAAATATCAGCAAAGTCAGTCCTGAACTAATAGAAATTGCGAAACAGATAAACCAAAGTAGGCGCGATGTTTTCGAAGCAACGCCCGACAGAATGATAAGCAAGAAGGCAGAAAGTGTTCTCTTCAACAAAGATTATGATAATTTCAGGGATGATTTAAAAACTCTTATATGCTCATAATTTGCATTGTATAATCATGATTTTCTGTAATTAGTCAACTGGTTTCTTCAATACCCATTTTCTAAAATGTACAGATGGATAGCAATCATCTAGAAAACTGGTAGGACGTAGTAGTATACATACTTTATTTTTACCGGTACGAACAAATATTATAAAATTAAAATAAAGATATTTCCTATTAGTTGTTGTTACGGAATACTAGTTTAAATGTTCGATACGTTGACAGGAATAAGGCGAAGCCGATTGGTACGAAAAGCGGCGTATAAATACCGTATTTCTGATCATCCTACAAAAAAAATGTGTAATTATTAAGCTAACAGGTAAGTTAGTGCAAACAAAAGTTTATCTCCAAAAACTAGTTATTTATGTGATAATCAAAATGAAAGTACTCTATGAACTCTACTTTAACGTTTTCGCAACACTCAGTAGATCTGAATGTGATTTTCGTTCTGCCGTAAGGTTGACGACGTCCAAGATTCTCAATCAAATGTTGAATCGTAAGGAATGGCTATATAACCAAATTGCACTGATCCCCAAATGCCCTGGTACGGTCGAAAGTGGGGGGGTTGCTCTTCTGAAATGCCATCATATGACCATGCATATTTAGTCACTGCTGTGGAAGTTCTACTCACTACCTTTTCGTTGCACAGTCGTTGTTTACGAAATCGAAAGGACGACAGCAAATGTCCAGCGCTCAAACCAGGTTGGTAGGTACAGAGGATAAACTTAGCGGAGCTGGAAAACCCTGACTCCAAACTAACGATTCTCATAGACTCTAGGACCCTGTCAGTCAGTCAGTCACAACGTAGAACTTCGTACGTACGTACATCAGTTCGAGTTGCCATACCACATTAGCACAGAGATGCAGTTGTCGATTCAAATCCCATAGTGGAAGAATTAGTAAGAGTATAAGCAGTAATCGGAAAGATTAGAGTTTGAAGATGTTATTGAAGGAGTATAGTACAGTGAAATATATTTGGAAGGAGAAAAACATAAAGACATGAGAAATTCAGAAGATTAGAATTTGGTAGAACACAAAGAGTGGATACACCTTCGCCATTGCAAACGATTTTGAGCCATGTCATTCAAGGTCTCTAACCATCGGTTGCTATCATCTCGCGAATCCCAACCAGGTAGTCTACACTTACCAACATGGCCCAGTCCACTTGTCAGTGACTTCATTGATTTGTGCCACGTTTTGGTCTGGCCACCCCTAGCTTTCTTCCAACCTACACCATGAAACATTGCACGTCGGGGCAGTCGGTGGTCGGGCATACGTAACACATGTCCCAGCCATCTCAACTGATGAAGTTTCACTACTTCAATCGATTTGCCATCCCTACCTAGTACTCGTTTCCTAACAACTGCATTACTTACCCGGTGGTCCCAGGATATACGAGCAATGCTTCGAAGACACCTATGATCGAACACTAGTAGCCTACGAATATCCTCTACTCTTACCGGCCATGTTTCACTTCCATAAAGTAGGACGGAACGAACTGCTGCACAGTAAACCCGTCCTTTGGTTGCTAGACGGATATCTCGCCTACGCCACAAATGATGCAAGTTGGCAAAAGCTAGACGAGCCTTCTGTATCCGTGCTGAGATTTCGTCACATACCAGACCACAAGGGCTGATGAGACTCCCAAGATAAGTGAAGCAGTCAACACGCTCAACTACTTCACTCCCTATCATTAGTTCAGGTGTCGCTGCAACCCAATCCTGAAGTAACATTTTGCACTTCGAGGGAGAGAATCGCATCCCGAACATGCCTGCATTGTTGCTTATGGTGGTCAGAAGACTCTGCATTTTGTCAGCGTCTTCACCGAGTAAAACTATGTCGTCGGCGTATTCTAAGTCAACAAGTGAGCCTCCCGGTAAGAGTTCAACTCCTGGAGGCTTAGCTGATGAAAGTGCTGTCTCTAAAAGTATGTCAATGACAAAGTTAAACAAGAATGGGGAGAGTGGACAGCCCTGACGAACTCCACTTGTGGTAATCAGTTCTGATGACAGTTCGCCATAGGCTCTAACTCGACCAGTTGTGTTCGAGTAGAGAGCCTTTATGAGGTTAATGTACTTCTTTGGTACTCCTTTCAGTGACAAACATTGCCATAGAACCTCACGATCAACAGAGTCAAATGCCGCCTTAAGGTCAAGAAATACTACTATTGTGGGACGTCTGAATTTGTGTCTATGTTCTAGAACCTGACGTAGGGTGAATATCTGGTCTATGCAACCACGTCCAGGTCGAAAACCAGCCTGGTTTTCTCTAGTCTGCTCTTCACGAGCTTTGGTTAGGCGACCTAGTATTATTGAAGCTAATATTTTAGACACTATATTAGTCAAACTGATCCCTCTGTGATTGTCACAAGAGGACTTTTGTCCTTTCTTATAAACTGGCACAATCAGTGATTGGAACCAGTCAGATGGAATTACGTCCAGTTCCCAGATTCTACCTAAGACCTCAGTCAATCTCACTGCTAGTACTGGACCACCATCCTTAAAAATCTCAGGGGTCAACCTGTCAGGGCCTGCTGCTCTCCCTCGCTTCAGATTTCCTATAGCTTTTTCAACCTCACAGAGGGTTGGAGGACTTACATCAATTTGCCATTCAGGACGACTGGGGATCGTGGGTAATTGAAGTGTGGCTGAAGGCCAGTTGAACTGATCCCTAAAGTGTTCTGCCCATCGATCCAACCTCCTGGATTGAGAATGAATAATATGCCCATCTTTATCTGAGATGGTTTCACTGATATTCGGGTTCCTAATGCCGGTTTCTTTAACGAGTCTGAATAGCTGCCTACTGTTACCTATTGCCGCTGCCTTTTCCATCTCTCTTGCTTTCCCTACCCACCACTGTTCACGATCATTACGTAGGCTTCTTATAAGCCTGCGCTTAAGTTGACTCCGCTCTTCGTTATGCTCAGAGCCAGGTGGGATGAGTTTACGAGCATCTATCAGTGCGGAAGATGCTGCCGAGATCCATTGTTTCTCCCTAACGTTATGGTTTACCTTACTAGCGGACATCACTGCTGTTTCCACAGCTTTTCGGATGTCATTCCACGCTGCCTCGGGGTGGACACAACTTACATGGCTGCCTAACTGTTTTTCTAGTTGTTCCTGGAATATATTCTTAGCTTGCCTATCATTAAGTAGAACCCTTAGAGGCTTCCCTGCAGTGTCTTTCCTACGACCAGTTAGACGCAGACAGATACGTGCTCGCACTAGAGCATGATCTGAATCTAGACATGTGCCCCATAATGAGCGACAGTCTTCAATCGAGCCCCTCCATCGGTGGCTGATAGCGATGTGATCTAATTGGGTCCAACGTTGGGACGAATTCGGGGGTCGCCATGTCAAAAGATGTTTTTCCTTATGCTTAAAGTTAGTATTTGCAAGAAATAGGCGGTTATCTGAGCACAGCTGCAACAGACGGTCGCCATTATCTGTTCTTTTCGCCATGACACCATAAGATCCACCCAGGTGTCTTTCCCTTTCACTTAGTTTACCTACTTGAGCATTAAAGTCACCTGCTACTATTACTACATCAGAACGCCTAGCTTCTCGGAGAAGGTCAGAAAGTTTCCTGTAGAACTCATCTTTTATATCGTCTGAGCTGCAGTCAGTGGGAGAGTAGGCAGAGACGACGAAGAGGCAACGACGAGTTTCCCTATCTTTCCGGGTCCTTACTGATCCGTTTAGTCGGACAGCGCATAGACGACTGTCTACTGGGATCCAGTCTAAAAGAGCTAGTTCTGCCCTAGGACTTAATGCTATACCTACTCCAGCGAGGCCACGGGAAGCAGCGTCAGGGCTTCCAGATACACGAAGCGTGTATCGAGATGAAACTTTATTTTGATTAGGTGAGGTCAAATGAATGACACTACTCGGATCTTGTATGCGCGTTTCGGAGACGCAGCACACATCGATGGTGTAAGATTCTAGAGTCCTAGCTAAGGAAGCCTGTTGTCCTATTTGGCACAATGTTCGGACATTAAAAGTTCCTATATGTAGTTTAGAGCGTGGTTTCAGGAGACCAGAAATAACGTTCTGTGTACTCGAATCGTTTGCCCTAGCGGTGCGAGGTGATAAAAGGACGTGGGAAGGGTTAGTCGTGGAGATAACAGAGTTATTAGGAGGTGTAGGAAGGATTTGAAAGCGACCAACTTGGTCTTGTGTGCAGCTAAGGGTATGAGGGCTAGTATCACTTCCCGGCTGCCCACACCGTGGAAGGGTATTTCTTGAGGGAACTGAAAAAGAAGTTGGATTAGTGTTGGTCTTAACGACCTGGGTGCGTGACCGCAGTGCCCAAGGGACATCTGCTTGAGGCCGGTCACGCACGGCCTTTTTGTGGGGGATTTTTGACGTGTTAGCTCCGTTCTTCAAAAGTCCTTACCGCCGGAGACGGAAATCCGTGGGATAAGGCGAGGTGTGCATTTTTAGGGTCGACCTTTTCTAACCCCACCCCTCCTTGTGGGAAGGCAGCATCGCTGTCATGCTGGTTGTCTGAAGGAAACACCTTACTGCTTTCACACCTCTGTACAGTCAGCAGTACGACTTCGCCTTCGGACCTTGGGATTGCTGCTTTTAGTCTCACCGCTCTTCAATCGACCTGTCTGGCATGGTAGGACCTTGAGGAACGATTGTTCCAGCCAGCATAGCTCGATTGGATCATCACGATAGGCAAGCCCGACCACCACGTCAAGGTAGCAGCAACGGTCGGGCTAGGACCCTGAGAGGACAAATAGCATCAAAATCTATTCCTGGCCACCGGCTACCATGAAATCACAACCCCTAACGTTGCTCCACTACATTGTGGATTAGACCTCTTGGTCAAATGCTTGGGGAGTGGCCCCCAAGACCACGTTCTTCGGTTTAGGCACTCAGACAAAATCCTTGGCAAAAAAACAAATTTATTGATAACTACTTTGTGTGGTGCATATACATTCTGTTGACCTTATGTACCAATGTGTCTAAATAAATACCACTTACAATGGTGTGTGCTAATGGAACAGAAAGAAGCTTGGGCACTAAGTTAGGTTAAATTCATCGACCGTAAATAATTTAGAGTCTTAAGATTGGCAAAGATCACACTACGATACAGAGTTCCAGTTACACAAGAATACCTACACAATAAAAAGTAACTACTAGTTATTCATTTACGCACCTGTTAAAAAGACGTACAATTTAATTTTAAAGGCTAACTCCCAAAACATAACGTCTTTCCTCCGTAAAAGGTGATTTTTATTCCTTGGATTGAAAGGGGGTAGTGACTCAATGTTGTGCATTAGATTTAATATGGTAAAGCATCGGGTTGGATTGAATCTAAGAAATGGTTCCCAGGTATTTGATGACGTAAGCACCCCATAATAATTAGACATAGTTTGACATGCTTTTACCAACCGCTCTAGACGGGCATAATAATAAAAAGCTTACCTCGAAATATAAAAGACCAAGCAGACTGTGGTCGAAAAACGCTCCATTTGAAGAAATTAAAGCATTATATGCATATTGGAATGTAACACCGAGAGAGCACATAATCTCGTTGTGTGACGATGCTGAATCGTTTGTTTCATCAGGTCTTTTGAGATTATCAAGCGCTAACGACCAATTCGAACATGAATGATATACTTCATGAGCAACATCATCCCGTATAATCATGTTTGGAAGGCGTTGTAGTAGGTTTATTAATGACTCAATAGTTCGTTTTGTCTCAGTAAGACATTCAATAGTCCGTCGAAGAAACCACAAATTAAGCTGTGAACAAACAAAATTAAAAGACATGTTCTAGTTATGTGATCTACTAACGTGAAACCTTAAGAAACTAACAAGTTTTTAAGGTGTATTATGAAGTGAACATGTGCACAGTACTCGATAGAACATAGTGAGACAGTAGCAGGTAGAAATTACTAAAATGTATAGTAGCGAAACATGACAGAAACTAACTTTTAGACTCTGGGACTGTATATGCAGGTCAGCAAAAAAAGCACCAATTTACTGAACATATCTATAAGATTCATGCACAGATCATGACTTTCCTCCTAAGGAATCACACAAGTTTCTGCAGTCTGCATAGACTCACGAAAATAAGTAGTCGGATGACTACTCATCTATTTCTGTATTTAAGAATATTCTTCTGTAAGCACTGAACTTGGAAGGTATGTTAAACAGATTATCTATGTAGCCAAAAAATTTTGAGTTGCTTCAAGACTCTGAAGCGGAATTCAATCTGTCGTTTTCTATGGTGATTGGCTTTCTGTCTAGACATTTGATGAGTTAATTCATAAATACCAATTATAGCGACAGAAAATGTACGTTCTGTTTATTAGGTAAAGCATGTTGAACACAGTTCATAGTCAACTTGGTTTACAAGAAAAATAGCCGAATCAACCAATGTAAATTAAAAGAAATGCTTCATAAGCCAACATTGTGTTTTGAAGATATATATCTATGAGAGAAAACTAACCTCCCAATTCGTTGTTTGACCATTTAAGTCCATGTTAGATTGAATATGATAGGTGTGAGTGTTATCTATATCCCGATCAAAATACATTTCTTTGATTTGTGGAAAACCTAATACTGAACGTATCACATAAATAATTTTTTGTGCAATCATCTTGGTTGATCCAGTTCTTGTCATGCAATCAGAAGCATCAATAGAAAGTAGACCACCCCATTGAGGTACAAGTGCATAGTCGGTTATTATTACAGATGGATATGATGATATATGAAACCTTAAAGGTAAAGGACAGTCAACTACGTGTGAATTATTTCTTTTAAAAGTGTTTAGTAACAAAATAAGATGTAAGCCTGGATTAGAACGAGCCATATCGAGACTATCTGCATACGCTGTTTGAGGAGGTCCCAAAAATGATTCTAAATAATTAATAAGATTGGATATATCATCTTGCGAGTAAAACGTATAGTTTCCGGTTTTTGACAATTGACTAGAAAGAGAATTAAGTAAAATACAATTTAAACAGACAAAGTAAAGGTTATCGTTATAGTTCAAATCGTTTTTTTTCTTTTGATAAAATGAGATTAAGAAAGTGAGTCTTGCAAAACAAAGTGAAAACAATCAGTTCAGAACAAATCATATTTATAGTAGATATCTCATAGAGATATAAGCTACTGAGTGAAGATATAATTTTCAGTTGAAGGAAATAGTAACCTAGTTTTGAATTATTTTCGCTAAAGTTGATGAGCAAGTACATAATCCCCTAGAAGTCTTATTTGTATCATTAAGCTGTTCTACTTTCTATTTCTACCAAAGGCTAAATCTCACCAGTCCAATACAATGCATTGGAGTGTGCATACACTGTATCTAGTCCTGATTCGGTAGTTATGACTAGAGTACGTACTGGTTACATATGAGAATTTACTAACTGGTATATTGAAATAAATATGAGACCCATTCTACAGGCTTAGTTCTCCTGTAAACCATTTTTACAGAATACTTGTATACACGCCTTATAACTATTAAGAAAATTTTGTATAGAATGTGAATTTTTTGACTGTGAAAGTGATATCACAATGAAGTTCTCTAATGATTTAGGAACTGTTTGATTTATCATATCGTCGATTAGGAATTCTATCACCCATATGTTAACTGTGAAAATGTTCAATATCTGACATGATGTCAAAAATATGATTCAAGTCTAACTCATTGGGGACATGATTCTCACAGGTTAGATTATGTGATACAGTTTTAACCAACAATTGAAGACCAGATTACCTGGGCCAAGGTAACCATTTGTTAAGTGTGGAATCCAGAGCACATTACAGTGAAATTAGTCTTTGACGTATCATAACAGTCTTAATGCTAAGTACTTACCTGTTTCGCTCAGTAACCTAATTACAGGTTGCTTTGCCGTGAAACATCGATTGTGTGTAGAAATGAGCACCAAATCAGTGCGACATATGATGAGTTATTACCTGAGCCCACAGAGCGAAAGAAGTGTTTTACTTAGGGAACTATACATAATCCATAATGTATTGAGGCATCATCAGAACAGGAAATTCCACAGCAGGTTTGCACACTATTCGTCGCTTCTGGTCTGGGAGCCATTGTGTACCACTGGTTTGGAGTCACAAATTTTAACCTCCGCAGTCTAAACCTTTGTATCTAACAGTCAAATTTTTGCGTCTGACTTCTGCTTCCAACCCTTCATTTTGTAGGAAAATCACAGCAAACCAAGACAGGGGGGTAAGGATTCCCTGTAAAAGGTTATAAACGCATGGATGCATGGAAGCAATCCGAGAGGGAGAGAAACTTCCCTACCTCTAGCCACGTTGTGACCATCACTCTTCTCACCGTTTGGAATGTTAATATTCAGCTATTTCTGGTTGTCCATGTATTTCAGTTAATTACTACAACCGTGTTAAGTGTTCAGGGTACTCAACAAAAAGATAGTGTGAACACACAGAAGTTGTAAAGCAGAACAGAGGATTATCAGTTGTCGTTCACAGGAAAACTTGATGTTCAGCTTCAGTCTCTTCCTACCAACTATTCAAATCCAGCATGGGCTAATATATTTTACCGAATTCCCATCCACCTTTACCTAATGAATGTCATTTTATTAAAATGAAACAATGCAAAGCAGCATTTGTGTGTCCGTAATGACAACATACTGTAAACTAAGCTTAAATACAAACATTCCACACAACCTGATAAATCGGCAAGTCACAACGAGGATTAGCTTACAAAAGCCGAAAAATCTGTTATTGTCGCCCTTGACATATAGCTATTATTGAAGTTGGCATAATGAAAAAAAGGTTATTAAAACTTATCACAGTAAATAAGATTTAAATATTTTACAAGTGTTCAAACGTAATAATCGGGATTTTAACTGAAGTCATATTTGCTAATCAGTGATTTGTCTGTCGAACTCCATAAAATGGAGCTTGGAGTTTTATGAATATATACTTCCCAAAATGACAGATACATACCAAAGAGTTACACAATTCTGATACCATAATGTAACATACAGTCTAGGTATTCCAAGCACACCTAGCTGTTAGACTGTCAAGACATATCTGGAATGAACATCACGAAATTTCCTGATATTTCGTAACTCAGTCAATCAAAAGACGGGTCTGACCAAGTTGATATTATGTCACTCAGGTCAAGGTAATTTATGTAAGACATACGTATTTGTGTGTGTCAAGGGGTGAAAAATTTGATACATGTAGTAAGAAAGGATAGAATTGAATTTGTATGTATGGTAATAATGTGAGATATGAATAGAATCAGATATGGTATCTCAATAGATGGTCCACGGCCTTCTGTTCTAATGAGGGCGATATGATTCAGCAATGTATGAAAGTTTCAGCCACTGGCATTTCTTCACAGCTGGAAAAGCTTTTTTCTATAATTTTGAAATTCTTAACATCGACTTGGTGGTTATCGAAGATACCATGCTCTGCTATAACCGAATCAATTTAGTCTTTCAGGTTCTTCAGGATCATTAGGTGGCTTTTTGTGTACCTAAAATGTTCTTTGACTTGAATCAAGATTACACGAGATGACTCTGTGATATAGAAGGCATCACTATCGACAAATCCTAATTTGTAGACGCAATTCTGTGTTGACTTGGAGTTAATCTCATCCTTTATAATAACTGAAATAGTTTGAAGAATGGTAAGCAAAGATGGATTTAGGCTATATCGAGGTAATACGCACAATATGCACATATGCCAATTAGAGACTGACCAGTTGCAGTCCTAAAAACATTAATGGGAAGATCCAAACAAACAATACTAAGTAAGTTTGAAGAATGGTAGTTGTTTTGTAGTATGTTTTAATTCTGTATTGTTTTAAGACTCCTTAAAGTTCTGATATACCGTGGCAGTATGATAAAATACAGTATCGGTCCATGGTATTTCTTTCAAACTATTATTTAGCAGTAAATAGTCACGTTTTATTGCACTTTTAATAATTTTCATAGGAAAATTATTGAATTGTAATATGTTAATTATATGCTTTCGTTCTTTTTGTTTAGCCTTTTCAGATGTTATCTTGTTTGCTTTCTTAAAAAGATTTATGGCCAGAAAGATTTTTGAACTAAATCAAAGTGCCGAACTGAAGTTGATATGACGATCAGTGTGTTAGCTTTATGTAGATGATTAGATAAAGAGCTTCTATTCAATTTCTTTTAATTAAGTAAACTAAAAATGATAGCTGACCGTGTTTATTTTCATCCTCGCAAATAAAATTAATATGAGATGAGAGTGTATTGATCAGTCTAGTAAAAGTATGTAAGGGAGTCTTTTTCATGAAGATAAAAGTGATATGACATTGACTTGGTCAAATCTGTTTTTGATTGATGGTACTAAATAGGTCTGCTTTATTTATTTGTACTATTTAAACTTGGGTTAGTTTAATTTGTTTATTTATTCTCTGATTAAGTCACGAGAGGTCATTGGGATATTAAAAATATATCATTTTTATTAGCAACAATCTAACCAATATTCAATTTGTTTGAAGTCAAACTTTGGTAATGATATCTAAAAATTATCTATTATACAGGATCGCATTGGCAGATAGTCTGTTTTTGATAAAGTGATCCAACATATAATGATACTTACCTTTTTTTCAACAGTTCAGCGCTAACTCCATAAAGTCTCTGTGAATAGAAATCGACTTGAACAAAAGGCGACCAACTTTTAAAGGCTGATCCTACGTGTGCTTTTAACCATGGTATAGGATTTATCAACATCTCATTAGTCCAAACCGATATTTCATTAGATTCTTCTACTAATTGTGAAACAGAATCATCGAGTGTGAGCACTGTAACAGTTACATCGTAAATACTAGATACAGACAATGGTTTATCTATAATTTTTGAGATTTCATTGTACTGACCAGGAGACAAATTTATAGAATTATCGTATTTTCGTACAAGTTTCTAAATGGAATTTCGAAAGCAGATATTTCAATACTAGCTCACTTGCAGACGAGAACGTAGTTTATTAAAATTAATACACAGGAAAAACTAAATAAAATTTTTATATAAACACTACTACATAACAACGTTCCCAAATAACACAAACTATGTGTTTGAGGAAACGATAAAAAACAAAAGAATTAGGCTTAAAACATACTATATCCCATAAAAGGTTAAACAGATATAATCCCAAATCAAACACATTAAAACTGAGTCAAAGCGAACACTTATTGATTTCGACATTGATAAGAAAGCTATAAATAATCGTTAAAATTTATAGTTTCCCTTCTACATACATTTCGAACTGCAGAATTAAAATAACTCTAATAAAATCTTATGATATAAAGAAAATATGTATCTTTTGGAATTTATAGGGGTAAGTCATACAAATGGATAAAACTCACCATAACGGAATATATACAGGTAAATATGTTTATACATTGGCTTGTGTAATATGATAACAGGGTTGTTTGTGGAGATGTTCAGTAATTTTTTATATACAGTTCAAATCATGAGTCAATTGAAACTAGATCACCATGGAAAACCTGGAAGCACTTGACGGACGTTTCGTCCTATTGTGGAACTCCCTAGAAGTGCGCATCCACGATCCCGCCTCTCTAGATTCGAAAATGATGAACACATCTGACCAAAAATGTTTCAAACAGTCAACAAATTTTTATTGTCATACTCGGCTGGAAGTCAGATGAGCTTATATGTCGTTGGAAGTAATTAGGTATATCATGCAAACCACTTGTGAGTGAAATCAAATATAACATTAATATATCCTGAAACATTTATTTCCCTCAGTTAGGTAGGTTTAAAAGTACCAAAAGCTAGGAATAAATTATAATATAATTTGATACGAAAATTTGAGTAGTAGTGGTGATTGTCACATAAATACATAAGCTATTTTAATTAGAGTATCTTGATAAGATTTAACAATCTCTTAAACGATATTTACAAATAAGTAAACCACAGTAAAACTCATGAGAATTCCAAATTCACGTATAACGAGGCGAAACAATGTAACAGAGACTTGCCTTCCATGTATGCGAATGAATATAACAATACAAAACTAAATCTGTAATTGATGTATAAGAAACATTCTACAAAAATAACTTGATCGAGTTACTTATACAATAACAATTTGTTAATTGACGGTATCAATATGAAACACGGAGTTGAGCCAATGGGAGATTAGATTTTTCAGCTGTCTTAACAACTAAGAGATGATTTCATAACTCATTAAGCTTCTTAAGCTACTATTAAATCTTATGAAACAAATTACATTGTGCAGTTTACATCACAAATTGACCTCAGTTAGGCAACCATCCCAGATCAGGAAGCACTGGATAGTTGATTATCGAACTTCTAAGCAGTGTGTAATCACGAAGCAGTCTATAATCATAAGGAATCGAACCCACAATCCTTATGTCTTGAGGTCACTGTTTGATCTTTGAACCACTGAACCAACATCTAACGACTTATATGTGTGAATTCCATCAATTCGTAGTATTTCCCAACCATCGTCCAATGTCATTTGTGGGTAATTGCTGAAAACACAACATAGTTGAAATCAGCTACTGACAACGGCTTCTCAACAGAACTATAGGGGATTATCGCACAAAATTGGTCACTAGTGAACATACGATTATTATTTAGTACCGGGGTCAGTCCGTAGTGTAAACTATAAAATTCAAAAATTTACATAATTTTTACATTATTTTGAAGGGCAGTTCAACTGGCCTGCTGCTCCGGCAACATCGACCAGTTTATCCTGCCCCCCTTGGCCGGTGACGACTGATCCACCAAACGAGGCGGAAGTCCGCAAGGAACTCCAACTCTTGAAACGCTACAAATCACCGGGCCCAGATGACTAACCTCCGGCTCTTTTTAAAGATGGCAGTGACTTTCTGGCTTAGGAACTGACTGTGTTGTTTGCAAAGGTTTGGGACCCGACCGTTGCTGCTACCTTGACGTGGTGGTCGGGCTTGCCTATCGTGATGAAGCAATCGAGCTATGCTGGCTGGAACAATCGTTCCTCGAGGTCCTACCATGCCAGACAGGTCGGTTGAAGAGCGGTGAGACTAAAAGCAGTAAACCCAAGGTCTGAAGGCGAAGTCGTACTGCCGACTGTACAGAGGTGTGACGGCAGTAAGGTGTTTCCTTCAGACAACCAGCATGACAGCGATGCTGCCTTCCCACAAGGAGGGGTGGGGTTAGAAAAGGTCGACCCTAAAAATACACACCTCGCCTTATCAAACGGATATACGTCTCCGGCGGTAAGGTTTTTTTGAAGAACGGAGCTAACACAAAAACTACCCACAAAAAGGTCGTATGTGACCGACCTCAAGCAGTTGTCCCTTGGGCACTGCGGTCACGCTCTCAGGTCATTAAGACCACTTCTAACCCAATTTCCTTTTCAGGTACCCCCAGAAGAACCCTTCCACGGTGTGGGCAACCGGGAAGTGATAATTGCCCTCATACCCCTAACAGCACTCAAGACCACTGTATTCATAATCAATCTCCTTCTTCAATTCCTACTATTCCTTCTACCTTGACTTTCAACACTAAACTTCCTCTTTCGGTTTCCTCCTCAAGTGTCGCCATGGCCAACGATTCTAGTGCGCGAAACACTATCCCAGGTCTACTAAAACCTCGCTCCAAACTACACATTGGAGCCTTCAACGTACGTACCCTAAGTCAAATCGGTCAACAGGCCTCCTTGGATAAGACCCTAGAATATCGTACCATTGATGTATGCCGTGTCTCCGAAACACACATACAGGATCCCAGTGTGGTCATTCACTTGACCTCACCTCGCCAAAATGGACAGCCAACGAAATACACCGTCCGTGTATCTGGTGACCCGTTGGCTAGTTCTCGCGGACTTGCAGGTGTAGGCATAACACTAAGTACAAGGGCAGAACAGGCACTACTAGAATGGATCCCCGTTAACAGTCGCCTGTGTGCTGTCCGGCTAAATGGCTCCGTAAGAACTCGGAAGGATAGGGACACACGTCGTTGCCTTTTCGTCGTTTCTGCCTACGCTCCCACCGACTGCAGCCATGATGAAGTGAAAGATGACTTTTACAGAAAGCTCTCTGAGCTTCTTCAGAAAGCTAAGCGCTCAGACATAGTACTCGTAGAGGGTGACTTTAATGCCCAGGTAGGCAGCTTGAATCAAACAGAAAGACATTTAGGTGGGTGTTTTAGTATTCCGGCTCAACGAACCGATAATGGTGATCGTCTGTTGCAACTATGCTCAGACAATCGTTTATTTTTAGCAAGCACTAATTTTAAACATAAGGAGAAATCGTCTAACATGGCGACCACCTGCACCAAACCAACGATGGACTCAAATAGACCATATTGTCATCAGTCATCGTTGGAGAGGCTCAATAGAAGATTGTCGCTCGTATTGGAATACTTGTTTAGACTCTGATCACGCTTTAAATAAGAGCACGCATTTGTCTGCGCCTCAATGGACGCAGGAAAAGTACACTAAGAAGACCCATTAGGATTGCACTGGAGGACGAGAGAGCCAAATGCGAATTCCAGAAACAACTGAGTTCACATCTAGGCAGTTCTGTAAACAAGACTGACACAGATGCTGCTTGGAAAGACATACGAACAGCTGTGGAAACAGCAGTAACATCTATTAGTCATTTAAACCATAGGGCTCCAAAAAACCAATGGATTTCTTCTAAGTCTATTTCACTGATGGATTCGCGTAAACTCATCCCATCAGGCTCTGAACATGACGAAGAGCGTAAAGAAATTAGATCTAGGTTAACTAAAAGTCTAAGGAATGATCGTGAGCAGTGGTGGGCAACGAAAGCAAAAGAGATGGAAAAGGCAGCGGCTGTAGGGAACACCAGGCAACTATTCAGACTAATAAAAGAAACCGGAATTAAGAAGTCAAGTGTAAGTGAGACAATCTCCGAAAAAGACGGAACCCTTATCTGCTCTCAACTCAAACGTTTAGAACGATGGGCGGAACACTTTAAGGAGCAGTTTAGCTGGCCTTCAGCTACTGCACAACTACCCACTATTCCTAGAAAACCTGAATGGAACATTGAAGTAGGCCCCCCGACCCTACTTGAAGTTCAAAAGGCTATAGGTAATCTGAAACGAGGAAGAGCAGCTGGTCCTGATGGATTGGCTCCAGAGGTCTTTACACATGGTGGTCCAATTTTAGCGATTAGGTTGACTAATATTCTGGCTAAAATCTGGGAGACGGATGTAATCCCATCCGACTGGTCACAATCACTGATTGTCCCAATATATAAAAAGGGGTCAAAATCATCCTGCGATAACCATAGAGGGATTAGTCTGACCAACATAGCATCTAAAATACTAGCCTCAATAATTATCGGGCGCCTAACTAAGACTCGTGAACTGCAAACACGAGAAAATCAGGCTGGCTTCAGACCTGGTCGTGGCTGTATCGACCACATATTCACCATTCGTCAAGTTTTAGAGCACAGACACGCTTATCGGCGTCCGACAATGATAGTTTTTCTTGACTTGAAAGCAGCATTTGACTCTGTAGACCGAGAGGTTCTGTGGCAGTGTCTGTCATTGAAAGGTGTACCTGAGAAGTACATAAACCTTGTGAAGGCTCTTTACTCGAACACTACCAGTCGAGTGAGAGCTTATGGCGAACTGTCATATGATTTTACAACCTCAAGTGGTGTCCGTCAAGGCTGTCCACTATCCCCATTTTTGTTTAACTTCATTATAGACCTGTTGCTGGAAACAACACTCTCTTCGACTGAATTTACAGGAATTGATCTCCTACCAGGGGGACCACTAAGCGACTTAAAATACGCAGATGACATAGTCCTGTTTGGTGAAGACGCTGGCGAAATGCAGAGTCTTCTGTTGGAACTCAGTAATAATGCCAGGATGTTTGGGATGCGTTTCTCCCCATCCAAATGTAAATTGTTACTCCAGGACTGGCCTGCGTCAACACTCGAACTAAGGATAGGGAGTGAAGTGGTCGAACGCGTCGACAACTTCACTTATCTTGGAAGTCTGATCAGCCCTAATGGGTTGGTGTCTGACGAAATCTCAGCGCGGATTCGACAAGCTCGTTTGGCTTTTGCCAACTTACGTCACCTATGGCGAAGACGAGATATCCGTCTATCAATTAAAGGACGAGTATACTGCGCAGCAGTTCGCTCTGTTCTATTTTACGGTTGTGAAACATGGCCATTAAGAGTAGAAGATACTCGTAGGTTACTAGTATTTGGTCACAGATGCCTTAGAAATATTGCTCGCACCTGCTGGGATAACCGGGTAAGTAATAGTGAGGTTAGACGCAGGGTATTAGGGAACGATGGTAAATTAATTGATGAGGTGATGAATCTTCATCGACTGAGATGGTTGGGCCATGTGTTACGTATGCCTGAACACCGATTACCACGACGCGCAATGTTGACCAGTGTAGGGGATGGTTGGAAGAGAGTTAGGGGCGGCCAAACCAAAACATGGCATCAGTGTTTGAAGTCACTAACTTCTAGTCTGAGCCATGTTGGCAGATACAGACTACCTGGTTAGGGTCCGCGTGACTATCGTAATCAGTGGTTGGAGACTCTAGGTGACATGGCTCAGAATCGATCACAATGGCGTAGGTGTATACACTCTTTATCTTCCTTTAAACCTTGAGACTAAAATTGCTTCATATCTCTCTTCCTTCCTGTACTATATCCTTATATACAACCTATAATTTATATACTACTACCACCAGTAAATTAATTACTTCTATGAATCCGGTGTTCATCTTGTTGTGCTAACGAGGTATGGCAACTTGGACCGATGCATAAATGTGCCTGGTCCTACGTTGTAGCTGACTGACTGAAAGGTTTGGGAGCAAGAAAGTGTTCCAACATGATGGAATGAGTCAATAGTCGTCCCTATCTTTAAAAAGGGTTCACGTTGTTCCTGTAAAAACTATCGGGGGATAAGTTTACTTCCCATTGCGTCCAAACTATTGGCTTCTATCATTCTTCGTAAGTTGTTTAAAACCCGAGAACGATTGACTCGCGAGGAGCAGGCTGGTTTTCGTTCTGGTCGAGGATGCATCGATCACATCTTCACCCTCCGCCAAATGTTAGAACACCGTCATACTTATCGCAGGCCAACAATCGTAGTGTTTCTTGATATCAGGGCGGCCTTCGATTCGTTGGACAGGACTGTTCTCTGGGATTGTCTATTGAAGAAGGGTGTGCCTGAGAAGTTCATCCATACAGTGGAGTTAGGCAGAGTTGCCCAATCTCACCATTCCTCTTCAACTTTGCTATCGATGACATTCTGGAAACAGATCTGATGGATGTAAGTAATGGCGGTGTGCATCTCTTGCCTGGAGAACGACTTCTTGACCTTGAGTATGCGGATGATAACGTCTTACTGTGCGATAATGCCCAAGGCATGCAATCCGCACTTAATTAGTTGGCAATCAGTGTCCGCAGGTACGGTTTGTGCTTTGCACCTTCGAATTGCAAAGTACTTTTACAAGACTGGCAGGATTCTCATCCTGTAAACACCCTGGATGGTGAGCAGATTGAAGTAGTTGAGAAGTTCGTGTATCTAGGTAGCTACATAAGTGCTGGTGGTGGCGTGAGTGATGAGATCGATGCACGTATAAGGTAAGCCAGAGCGGCTTATGCCAATCTGGACCATCTTTGGCTCCTTCGTGATGTTAGTCTGGCTGTAAAAGGTCGGATCTACAACGCGTCGGTGAGAGCAGTTTTGCTCTATGCTTGTGAAATCTGGCATCTCCGAGTTGAGAATGTTAGACGTTTCTCTGTGTCCGATCATCGTTGTCTCCGAAGGATTGCTGACCTACAGTGGCAACACCATGTTAGTAATGCAGAGGTTCGGCATCGTGTGTTCGGGCGCAGAGACAATTATTCAATTGATGTCACCATCTTGAAACACCGACTTCGGTGGCTTGGACATGTTTTACGAATGTCTTCCCAGAGAATTCCACGTCGTGTATTATTTGCCGACTCTAGGACTGGTCGGAAAAAGCGGAGAGGAGGTCAGTGTATGACATGGTGTCGTGGCATGAAAGAAAGCTGCAAAGGGCTAGCTTCTGTTGGTCCTTCACGACTCCCTGGCTGGGGTCCGAGAGATGGTGCAACACAATGGCTAGAGACGTTATCAGATATGGCTCACAATAGAAGCCAGTGGCGAGCCTGCTGTAACCTTCTTTTACTTTCTTCATAAAGAGTGGCTATAACTTTCTTAACTGAGAGAGCTCTTCTGGTTGTACATTTCAGTTCCCCCCATCATTACTCTTCTCTTTTTTTCCTTCTTTTATATATACACATCTTCCTTCTCCTCCCATTCTCATTATTTTGTGTGGCGCATATGTATCTGGTGCCCTTTGTACCAATATATATGTGATTAAATAAATAAATAAACATTATTTAAATCTAAAACTACCATTGTAAATGTATGACAGAGTAATTTCACTTACCATAAGATGATTAGTTTGTATTAAAACATTATCTAATAAATATTTCATATGCAATGCTAATACCTCTGAAAGTTGACTATCTTTACTTGACATAATTGTCTGTGGAATAAAAATGTAGATTAAATTTAAATGTAATAAATTTCTAATAATTGAAAATGGTTTCATGGATGATGTAGTAGATTTGTTAAAATTCATTCCATCTAACCATAAATTATCAATATTGTCCATTGGTAATAATAGAAAATGATAAACAGATGAACTGTTGTTTCTTCTTTGTTCAATAAGATTATTACTATAAACGACAAAACAGTAAACAATTGTAATAATCAAATTAAAATGAAAATATATGAACCAATGAAATATACATATACAGCATTAATGCAATGAGAAGTCAGTTTACAAGATAGTGGATACACGTACCATAATCAAATAAATAAAACTATTAATTCAGATCAACTGACTTTGAAATGAATCATTATGTGTGAAAAACTATCTCTATACTAAATATCTAATTAGTTGAGAGAGTGATAAAACTAACCAATCAATTCTATTTTTATTGACCGAATAAAATACTGAATTTTTATGATGAACTGAAATCACAGAAATATTTTATACGGTTGTTATTACACTATTACCAGTGAAAAAAAAAACAGTTTCAGATTCCAAAATATTCACATAATCATCTTATGCATTATAGGCGGAGACAAATCACATATTGACATAAATGTCACTTATTAAATCTCACAAATATTTTCATGTTATAAAGAAATAAAAGCAATTTTTGTCAATGTAAGTATGCATGTAACTTCATCTGTAGCTCTTTAAAGGTTACTGCCGATTCAAAGTCGGTGAAAATAAAATAGGTAAGCGGAAAACACCAACTGAGGTATACCAAATAAGAAGTATTTCGGTGAAGATATTTTTTATAGGAGAATTTTGTTCGATTGCCGAAACTGTATTAGCTACCAGTCTATGCTACTGGTACGAATTTATATAAAGACCATGGACAAATTACTCAAATATTTGAAAACAAAACGCTTATGGAGTGCGAAGTAACGTTTCCTAAAATTGTTGATATTGTCGCTCACCTTCTTTACAAAATTATGAATGTTCTCACTTTATTATAACAGTAAGTTGACTGGATTAGGAAAAAACCTTACTGAAGTCGGGGGAATCAAGCATGGAGTATTCATGGATAAAAATGGACACAGTGATCAATCCTAACAAGTAACACTAAACCACTAGATGTGATAGGTTACAACAAAAACCGGAACAATAATGTAAGTAACCAAAGAAATATTGTGCTATGAAATCAAAATACGATGATAACTTATAGTTAGCTTACAACGTCCTCATCTCCGATGATAACTGGCAGTAATTAGATCCAGAGTCGAGACTGTTACTAACTCTGATTTATACTAGTTAAACCATATAACATTTTAATGTTAATTTCCAGTATATACACTGATGACGTATACGAATCACAAAGTTAAACGAACAGATGTTTAGTAAAAGTAAGACTGAGGAGTTATACGTTGAGTCACCATTTCACTATTAATAGACAAGATTAAACGGTTCTTTAAGAAAAAAAATCAAAGTAACATGTATGCAGCAAAATTTTTAGAGAAACTGAAAATGTTATATTTAATAAAGCTAATACAGTTCTACTACAGACAGATTATCACAGGGCTTTTGTTAATGTACGGCATATATGTGGAGCAGGAAAGAGATATAAAGTTTTGATTATTAAATCAAGTTTAACGATTACTACTACCGCTAAAATGATGGGAAAGTGTTCACTTTATTAAAATATTGTGATCTAAACCGGTATGTTCAACCACATCAAGAAAGCATTAATTCTCTTGCTTAAAAAGTGTTGTTTGTTTGTTCGTCTAATTAATCAACAAACCTTCCTTATGTCAATAACTTTTGAGTACTATTTCTACAATCAATATTTGAATTGTATGCAGTATTCCACTATGAAGGAGCGATTCAATATAAAGTTGGATATTTGAAATTATTTATAGACTATAGGTTAGTTAATTCACTAAGCTGTTTTATCCGAAAGGCTTTTTAATTAAAATAAAACATAAATATATCAATTTTGTCCTGAAAAGTATGATAAATTTAGACGCTACTACTGACATTGATTAGTAGTGGGCTGTATTTGTTACAGATGTCAGCAGTGAACAGTTATCATCAATGGTACCAGATGATTGTTGCAATATATAGCACAGTGACTGAAATTAGAACAATTACCTTGAAAGCTGACCTAACAGTTGAATGATTAGGAGTTCGCCGAGACACCTGCAGGTGCGAGTCCAATCATAGAGTTGTGAGTGTGTACTAATGCAAAGCGTTATACAACGATAGAACAGCCATCCACAGATGTTTGGTTTTCAAAAGTATCTCAACTGAAATCAATTTGTGACGAGTACAATCCACAAATTAAACCAACCTCCATAAAATCACTTCAACTTAACTTCCAGAACCATAACATTCCAATGGAGTAATTGAAATCTCTTTGATTTAATTATATATCACCATCATAACAGAATGATACGTTTGTCAATAGATTTGCCCATTATGCTATCTATCAGACTGTGAATCTACGATATTCTACAAGAATAATGACAGATTTTCCGTTAAGTTTTTCTATCAAGATGGATGCTAAAACCATTTATCTATTTAGGCTTTTCGAACTAAGTTCCTTAATTCAATTTTCGAAAATGATGAAGGGACCTTTGTGGAGATCGATCTCAGTTGAGGTACCCCTGAAAATTTGAAGGCACAAGATAGCTGAATGGGAGGAAGAGGAAATAGCTAGAAAGAAACTATGGGGAGATAGCTGTTCACCGCGCCCCGATTCCAAGGGTACATCAACTGAAATCGTTAAGCGATGGATACAACCTACAAATCTTCAAACTAATCAAATATTACTTGTTTACTTTTCAAAGCTCTTCGGAGTATCTTTTATATTGAATGGATTCAATGAGCTTAAATTTTTTTCAAATGTTAACCAAAAGCTAAGGATATCATTTGAAAGAGACTTTGTGTATGTTTGGATTTCTAACTGATTCATCATTTGTCTGGTATTTACATGGTAATTCATTAAAATTCCATCAGATCCATCTGTCACCGTAAAAGCTTGCTGCTCCAAATTAAAACGGGTAAATATTTCACCGATTTGGTGTAGATTTTGATCATCAAGTTCAGCATGAAAATTGAGCACCGCGATCTGATGAGAGGTAAGAAAAGAGAGGTAAACAAACAATAACCTATTTACAACAGCTTGTAACAACGAAGTTTACCATAATTTTAACTGCCCCTGAATCATTTGGCACATTTCATGTGGCAACAACATACTATCCTTCTTCTAAATGTTAATATGCATATACATAAACCTCGATCGGGATCAAACAAATGAGCAACTGCACCATGTGGTAATGATACTTTCAAGGAATAATCGGTTAACAATAAAAACACAAGTTTCAATAACGATCCTTATATTTTTACGGTATTGATAAGATGAATAGGTGCTGAATTACAAACGTTACATATATTTAATGTTTATTTAACGAACAGTTGTTAATACAATTATTAATCTCACCCTCCACCTCATCCGTCCGTCTAAAATAACTTGTGAAATTGCCTTTTCTTCGGTAAGCAATGTTTAATTTTACCCACATCAATGGTAGAAGTTTTATTATCACTAATCTTTACATTGCTTTAGTCTGTTTCTATCAACTAATAACTACTTCTTATTCATCCGCGTGCATGATTACCACACACAGTTTGTTCATGTAGATTGATTACAAATAAAAACCTACTCGCAAGAGGCGTATGACTGGCCCTAATCAAATATTATCTGGGCTTGATGGTCATGCGTCAGTGTTACCAACACCATCCTCCTAATCCAGTTTATTTTTCAGATAACTGCAGACGAATCCACTTTCGACGTGGGTAACTTTGAAGTCAAGATCACTCTTATGCCTCTAATTGGACGAAAGAACACCATTTTGATCACGACCATATCCCACCTTTTTATTTCTAAGACCAATTATCTGTCACCTATCTTTGACTCCTCCCATATGTGCCACCAGTGCTCATGATCCGAGTTTACGAAATGCCGTCCCAGGTATCTTGAAACTAAATCGAAGTGAAATGAGTTTTGAATACCTACACTTTAATGGTCAAAAATTAACTCCTTCGACCATTGATTGATATAATTACTAATATGGAGTAGGTAGTTCGTCACCCGAAGTATTTATCTTTGAATCAACGTGTCGAAGGCTACAATTCCCTTGCCCGTTGCTTCAACCGGGTATTATATATATATATATATATATATATATATATATATATATATGCATCATGCCCTCAATACAACTACTGCAATCTCAAAGTCAAGTACATATTTATTTATTTATTTATTTGAATACATAAATATTGGTACAAAGAGGCATCAGATATATATGCACCACACAAAATGTTTTCATTCCATTTAATTGAGTGAGGGCTATGATACTGCCCGGGTGCCCAGACTGAAGAAGGTGTTTATCTTAAGAGGCCACACCCCGAGCCTTTGACCTAAAGATCTGACTCACAAGGCAGTGGAGCATCATAAGGAGATGCAGTCCCATGGTAGCCAGTGACCAATGATTGATTCACACGCCATTTGTTCCCTCAAGATACTGGAGCCCATGTGCACCAGTGATTTGGAATCAGGGTTTTCCAACTCCACTAGGTGAACTTTCCGTGTCCACCAACCTGGTTAAAGCGCCGGACATTCGCTTTTCGTCCTCTAAATATCGCAGACATCACCGCCGCCATGAGAAGGTAGTGAGTAGGACCTCCCTGGCAGAGGCTGTATACGCGTGGTCGTGTGAGGGTATTTCGAGAGGGAGGCAGGGCCCTTTCCACTCTCGGCCGTACCAGGGCATTTGGGAGCCATACACATACATCTGTACTTTGTAAATAAATTGAACAAAAGTCAAACTTTTCAGAGTCCCATTCATCTTAAATAAATAAACAATCGCTAAACAATGTTATTCCATTCTAAACACACTAACAAGTTACAAAAAACTGTAATAAACGCATCTGACTCGAATCACCAAATGAAATTTTGCCAAACATATACACAAGCAAACAGATGATACTTACTGGTATAGTTATTTCAATTTTACGAGAGCTTAACATTTGAATCTCATCATAAGGCAATGAAGCATGATATGGTGCAGTAGTTTTCCACCATAAAGGTACTCCAATTAGAATTGTAATTAATAGATAAAATATTGAAATCATAATAGTCTTGCATTTTTCTTCCGACGTTGCTTGATATGCTTGCAATTCTGGATAGCTGTCAAGAAATGTTTTGGACTGAGATGATGACTTGTGTGAATTGAACATCATCATTGTCATAAACAATCCTGTAAAATATGAAGTAAACAGAAGAATACTGAGACGAAGTGTGACAAACACAGCTAGATATAGAATTGTGTGTGTGTGAATTCTGCATTAGATATGAAAGTTAATTGCACAACTCCCACTAAGTGTTCGTACGTTTACATAGATCATTAGTTAAACATTCGCCTCCTCGATAAATAGATCAGAATTTTGAACTTTTATTCACTTATAGAAATAGTCACATATTTGTAATGCCCCGATGAATAGAAAATCGAAAATCCCAAGTTGCTACCCCCAGAGAATGTACAAACAACCATGCTTCACATGGTATAGAAGAAATAAATATTTGGTACAATCTAAACACGTCTGATCATGTTGACTTTACGTCATTTCGGTCAAGATGATTCTGTGAGACTTACTATGTATCTGTGTGTGTTACTGGTGTGAGCGGATAGATAGACATCAATAAGGTAAAGCCTAGCAGAGCGATCTCAATAGTATTAAGTATGGTTGCTCAGATAGTTAGAACTTCCAATCCACTGAGCACAGTAGGATTTAGTAATATTTAAAAGGCTTCAGACACTCGTCTTTCTTTAGTTAGAGAATCATTCCCGAGTTATTTTGATGTATTTCAGTATCGATTTGATAATTGTTGAAAATACCACGCACTGCTCTATTACTGAGTGGATCCGGGAAATTTACATTTCTGCACTTTCACTAGGTCTTTTCGTGTTTAGATGTTCGAAAATTTAACGAGAACACTCCTCTATACGGGTATCAGGAGGTATCAACGCAACTTAATCCGTAGGCCCAATTATGTGTTGAGATGAGAGGGTTATTTTCCTTTATTCGAACTAAAACATTCAGAAGAATGTTGGATGCTTTATAAACTTCCATTCATCGTAATTTTGAGATTCGTTCCAATTCTTCTGTCCTACTGTAGCGGTAAAGTAAAACTACTGTAACAACCTATGACATTTCATTACATTTCTTATTCAACAAATCACCCTGTCTTAACAAATATTCATAGGAAAGTTACTGTACTCCAAGATCGTCATTGTATTCGTCTTCTAATTTAAAAACTTTGGTAATTCTACTGAATGAATTTAAAGCCCAAAAAATTCTTCCACTAAATAATATGCGCTGTTGAACTCGACATACTGATTTGAACGTGTCGGTTTACGGTAGATGACCACATCTAGAATTTTATTTAAATTTCCTTTGAATGAGCAATCTAACAATGACACCTCATTGAGTCCGTTTTCATTTACCAAAGTGGATAAAAATGTGATTCTATATGGAACATGAATAAGAAAGCGACAATCAGTAACATAAGTGGGACTCATGTTCACTTCGTTTTTACCTATAAAGTTCATCTTTGAATGTAAATAAGGTCGAATTGAAGCACAGTTGAAGGAATAAACTGATGCTTGAATGACTCTAGATAGCCAACAACAAAATAACCAGAACCTTTATTAATAACGTTGTAAACACCATATCCATTGGACAACCAGTGTCTACTCGGATTCAGTAGCTGAGCGAATAACGCGCTCATGTTTGAAGTGAAAAAGTACTGGGCCTTGAATCTTAACGTCAATATCAACAATAAGATGCAGACACATTCAACTGACGAGTCTGAAACAGGAGGAGATCAGTCTCCCGGATCCTGTTGTTAGTCACAGCCCATCTATTTTGCGAACTCTCATTAGATCTCAAAACATAGAAAATAATGAAGACAAAATAATCGTGTGAGTATTCAAATTCCTAAAATCAGATTAAGACGCAAACCTATTCTCACAATAAAAATCGTAATAAAACGTTTTATCAGGAATCGATGTCAGCTACAGAAAATTAGTCAAAACCATGATGGGAATCTACTCGTTTCCACAAACATTAAGTGATAACAAACAATCATTCGACCATTCATTCATAAGTAGTTCCGATATGAATTTTGCGAAATTCTAGGTATGAAATTAAGCAAATCCGGTGGGAAACACTTGCTCATGGAATTGACCTCAGTAATAAATTTCGTTCAGTGAATCTTGTATTCGCACAGATACCAGGTGATTCTGAGTATTTAGGACTGGTCAGAAGTTTTAACCAGAGACGAGTTTATATGTGCTTTCTGATTTTCATTGTACTATCACTGAAATCAGTTCCTGGTGAATAGTAATTTTGGGGAATTATCCACTAATGTGAAATCCTTATACAACTATCCTATATATTTTTTTGAACAGATATATTCATAGGGATATGGTTAAATGATGTCGACAATCAAGTTTCAACCATTAAGCCAAAAATTGGAATAAATCTTCATTTACCTAGGGTTTGGAAAGTCAGGTATTTTCCCTTACCTGCATATAAAACGTGTAGTTCAAAGCTTGATAAATCAATGTTTAGTTAATGAATCCGATTAATAGTTTTTTTAATTATTGGTGAAATAATAAACAACAATCACAACATATAACAGTACTAGAGGAAAGAAATGAGAGGATAAATTTACTATATTTATTTGTTTATGAAATAAAATAGTTTTGTCTATAAAAAGCAAACATCATAAATTATCTTCTCTTGAATCGAAAGACAACTTTTCCATAAGTTCTGTAAATCTAGAAATATCATCATTGTCATCAATTTCATTGTTCTTCTCCAAAGACTGAAATTTCGAAGTATTTGATTGATTTAAACGACTGAACCGGCAAACTTCGGAATAAGCAGGATCCACAGGAACTTGTACTGGTGGCTTGACTATATGATCAGGAGCTAAAGTATACGTGACATCTGGGTCGAAACCTCTTAGATCTCCACACGCTATGAATGGTAATAGAGCTTGTTGAGAAGAATTAACCTAACAGACAAACAAAAACGTCCGAAAATTACTATGGCTTAACTGAATACTCAATTTCTGAATGAGAGTATCAACCAAAATAATAAGGTCATTTTATTCTCGTGACCAATTATTTACTTAATCACTCAATAGGAAAATTATTGCAACACAAAGACAGACGTTTAGATTTACGGGCTGAAAGAATAATGTTTAAATGAATTTTGCTACTTGACTTTTAACGGATTATGTTGAGCTCATCATTCCTACGGCAGTCATCGATAACGAAGTATTTTCATATATTTTTATACATCTGTGCTCAAAATCTCATACATGAAAATAGAAATCACCAATAGTTGACTACAGCCACTACACAAATTCAAAAATATGATAAAAAGTATACATAACTATGAACAGAACATGTGATCGAAACATTTTCTAGGCATTTCGCATGACAAACTGAATATTGAAGGCATAACATGCTAACATACGTCTTCAAAGTTATCCTTGTCGTACCATAATAATAACAAATTATCGTTGCTTGAGTGATTCTCACAAGGTGTGGACGGTTTCAAATCTGTTCGTAAACGAGGACCCATAAATCCACGACATATAACAAACGACTCTAAACTAGAGTTCCGACTAGCTCTTGGTTTTGCAAAACTAACTTCACCTGAAAATAAACATCGAAGTTGGGAACCCAGTAAACCAGAATCTCGCCCACGAAAAACCTTGGCAACAAATGTACCACCTAGCTCAAGAACTCTTGAACAGATAGTTACAGCAGCTAAGATAAGATGCGACTGAACATATTCGTCTAAATCATGTAGACCTGTCACTACAAAACAATAAGAAAAATGTTAGCAATATCGTTAATACGTGGAGTATGAATTTTAAGAATAAAACACACTACTCAATAAAAATTGGTGGTAGAACAGAAAGAGTCAATAAAATAAATCTAGTACAAAATGATATTTTTATACCAAAAGCTTGAACGCACATAACGCATTTAGAAATAGGAAACTATTAACATGAAAAGCCCAAATTCACTTACCATCTGGAGCACCATCACAAACAACGAGTTGAGCTAATTTACCGTCAAAATGTTTGATAATCTGTTGAGCCGTATCCTGACTAGTAATATCGCCTTGAATTTGAATGACTCCTGGTATTGGAGCCATAGCCTGTAAATCCACGGCAACGATTTTCACCTTCATTAAGAAATATCAATAATGAAATTTCAAAATGTATGTAGTACAGATTTTTGGTCCTCCGGGGATTTCGATTCCCATAAGCGTTTTGATAATACTTGTGACCAGCTACCAGGTGCAGCACACAAATCAACCACTCGTTCTAAAGGAGTATTTTCTGAAAAAGTGAGTAAGCAAAATAAACAGCAACTGAAGCTCTGATTTTTAGTTCGAAAAAGTTTCCGATTTACATACTAATCTATAAAAAAAACTTATTGTTAGTTGACAAAATCTCAGGTAAATACACCATATTTTTGAGTTCTAACAGTTAAGACTATCTGAAACCACCACGATATGCAGAATTCATTAATAGCATTAGATTATTTCAATCGACCTGACATTTAATAACTTAATGGTACGAACGCTTTCCATCCACAACTTTGCCAGCTCTGAGATTGCACTAGTAGAATACTGTATCAAATTTAACTATGTTTTAGTCAGTCAAATGCTATGATGATATGAGAGTGAATTTTCCAACGAAAACCTTAAACTAATGATATATTTCATTATTCATTAGCTAAGTGAAACTAACACTAAGAATGTGTATGACATTGTCAGCACCAACCAGTTATATTTAGCTGATGTGTCCCGATAAGAATAGTGAATGGTAACTTTGAGATCCATTCATGGACCAATACTATGCATATATTTTTTCTATCGTATGATTGCTAAATAACTAAACTATTCATATTCACGTCCCCCTTATTATGAGCTTTGTTTTAACCTGTAGAATATTGTTATAAGATTTACCATTCTTGAATTATGTCCTATCATTTACTATCTCCTTTATTTACAGCCACACCTAGCTGAATCTTTTACAAGTGTTGTTTCCTATTTTATGATACGATATGGTCTGTTTGGTTGGTATATAAACTGAGTATGTTTGAAATATGATTCATACCGCAGAGGCTGAGATTGGTGTTCTGGACTTAACTGGCTGGGCTAGGCAGAAAGCAGGACCGACAAGTACTCTAGACTGCTCGTACGGGTTTCGTGTGTCATTGGTTGAATCGATAATTCGCTGCTCTCTGATTGACGGTACTATCACGTTATACATTAACAGGGCATCCAGGCGGCCACAAGATATAACATTAGCCGACGAACCGTTGGAATAGTACATAAAAATCTATGGTAACCAAACTCAAACTTATATGTAAACCATTTCAAACGCTTCTTTATTTGCCTTACCAGCTTACATTACCATTAATGATCAGACATCATAGCACCTTTGTCGCGGTGGTCAGGTTTGCTTATTATGACGAAACAATCAAGTTATATTGCCTATATCACTTGTTTCTTCTCATTTTGCTAGTAGACAAATCCGCTGGGAAGTGGGCTAACGGAAAGCAGTGAATTTCATGTGCACGAAAAAAATTCTGATTACTAGCCCTATTCAAATTGCGGTGGCAACAGTTTTTCCCAGAAAACCGGCGACACCGCTTCCAAATAAGCAGTAGGAGTTAAAACAAGTTGCTAGTGAAATAAGCGCATAATCTTAGCCCCCATAATTCTCCTTTCTTACAGTGTAGTTTTAAACACGTGAACTAACCTTAAGAAAGTCGGAACAACTATCCACAAAACAGTCGTGTTAGAACCACTTAAAACAATTATCCTTTACGTTACTTAATGAAGTTCACAAGTGGATAACGTCAGTATTCACATCATTAAAATAATCAAAACGAATTCTTCCGTGACTTCAATCACTTTGTTTATCAATCTGTGAGCTCCTGTTAAAAAAATTGGTATAACTCGAGTGATATATTTCATTTTGCTTGTGAAGTTTAATCACCACACACTTACCAGTAGAAAAAATTCCATACTCATCATTAATCTGTAGCAGCTTATAGGCACTACGTGCTCTCCAACCCTCTTCTTTAGCTAATCTATAGTAAATATCACGCTTATCACGTGAAGATTTCCCCATTATTGATGGCTTCTCTGAAACGGGTAAAATCAAAATTACACTTTGAGTTTTGGGGGAAAAATTTAAGTAATCTGCTATTCAATTAACATTATTATAAACTAGGATCGATTGACAGAACAAGAACTTATGATTAGTCTCCTTATTACGATAAATGAAACTAAAATATGAGCAGTAGTTGTATCATAATAAAGTGAACACTTCAATATTGCCATTAAACTGGTGGATATAGTAGATAAGTACCATAAGAATTTTTACATAAAACCAGAGCACCAAGGCTAGGAGACTCTTCTCTATTTTATTTTGTGTATGTGTAGTTGTACCCAGGTTTTTCAGTCTGAGATCACTGAATACATTTTAACAGTAACACTTCTGTAACTGGTACTTACGCGACTCGTTAGCTATGAGACCCTTCCAAAGAGGATAAAATTCAGATGGTTCTAGCTGAAAACTTGTAGTCAGCAACTGCCGTAAAAAAAATATGGGAAGGTGATTCTCCTTGAACTAACCAAGTGATGGCGATACATTTTGACGAAACGTTGAAAGTCTTCAGTATAGCTACCTACTAACTAGTAACTAACTAAGTACTGGAGCAATTTCGAGCCTAAAACATGTGAAAATGTGTAAAACATGACGAATCAAAAACGAAGAAGAGCAGATGACAATATCCAAATAGGTTGTTCTCGGATGATTTTTCGGTTATTGAGGAGTAATATTAATTTAATTGACCGGAGTGTTAGTCTCGGAGTTCTAACTGATGGCAGTCACTGACAACTGGGCAATATAGACATTTTCTCACTGAGTAGTCAACGCTTGGAACCTACTGACAGAAGTGGTTGTTATGTGTTGCGGTCGTCCGAGTCTGATTGGCAGAGCACATCAGTGACGCAAGTACTTTTAATAAAATCATTCAAAAGAAGACTAAAAATATACAGAAGCCTACTAGAAAAAGACAAAGTGCTCCAGCACTCTTTCCCCAAACTACAAATCTTTTTAAAAGTAGAAGTAAATCCAGTTGTGGTGATCAGAAAGGAATTAATCCAATTAATATTGAGTAAGATCCAAGCTACTAAGATAGTGGTATGGTTTCCCGAGACCTGTGATTAAGGAGTCCAGAAAAACAGGCTGGTAATAAATGTAACGGAGCGTAAAATGACCGAATATTTACCTCATGACAAGTTCCAGAAATTGGAAAAATCGCCACCAGTCTTTATAAGGTCACACTAATCAACTGACGAAAAGTATTCAAATTAGTTGTAAATTGAGTGATCATCTATCACAAGACAGCTAACTGTAGTACCTCAGTTCAGCTTAGATACACTTTTCTCGAACTCTTAGAATGCACTTACACTTATAATGAGAGAAATCGACAGCGATCAGAAGTAACACAAGTGAGATAAAGAGAAAATCCCAAATGAAACCAAAAGTTGACGGCGCAAAGTTTTTCGACTGCACTACAACGCAACAAAGAAATAATGTGCCTTTCAACATCCAATGTCTTCGTAGCAAATCTGAATAGACCAATCTATTGATTAATCCTTCCCAATATGATGTACTAGATCATAGCTTACTGGTTTATTCCGAGTTTTCTCATCAATCTTAATAATTGCAATGACTCTAGCATTAGTTCGAGTTCAATCTTGGTTTGAGAGGGATGGAATGCCGGATGGCCTGTTTGTCCTAACGACAGTGGACTTTCAGATGATACAACCCCTTCCGAGCGCGTGTACAGGTAGAGCTTCAAGCATTTATTGAGGTAGGCAGTTTGGGGCGTTGGTGGTTTTATAAAAAAATCATTTGTGGCCCAGAATCTGACTGCGATTTGGATGAACGTATCAATATACCACGAGCTAAATCTTTCGTTGAACTTCGTGTACCACAACTAGGCTAACCTTGTTTGTTTGATGACGGCAACAGAAAGCCGAATACAGTTTGAATAAGATGAATTCACTTCAGATACTCGTTTACTCAGGTAAAGATCAGAAATGAGGAACAGGGAAGCGAAGCTTAGGCAAGCCAGTTCATTCCGTCTGATAAAGCGTGGCTCATTATTTACAGCCAGACAAAAATAAGCTAACGACATTAAATGTATAGGGTAAGTAATACATCTACTAACGCTTATATAGTCGATTAATTGAGGTCATAATCTAACTCTAGGAGAACAAATGTATTTGAGTCAATAATCACAATGAAAAAGAATACTTCAACAAGCATAATAGTTAAAAGTACAGGTCGATAGTGGAAAGACAGGTGTACTGCTACTGTACAACTACTATTAACAAATGTATTAGTCTGCCCGCAAACTGGAATGACAGATATTGTGTGCTACATTGTACTTGACACTACAATTCGATACTCATCTGACAAGTAATTTGTTTTTAGCTTGTGGACTTTTCTAATGTCTTAGCTAATTCACGATTTTTGAAGACAGTCAAACTTAGAATGTCAAATGCCAATTTTCTACTTAGTACATTTAAAATTGCCATCAATTCAACTATAGTCCTTCTATCTGACAAGGAGAACAGATTTAGTTTAGCTAATCTCTCGTTATACGGCAAATCTGCAACTCCGAGGACAGACTTCATCGCTGTTCCTTGAAGCTTTCCAGTCGGCTGACTGTTATGTTTAAGCAGGAGCTGGCTGCTTGTGTGCGATACTCCAATTTATGACGAACTAAAACTCCATGTAAAGTTGGAAAGGGTCTTAGGACCTACGTAGCTAAAGGCCCTATGTGTTGACTGTAGGGTACCAAAACCACTATCAGCCAAAGTACAGCTATGTGCAGTAGTTTTCAGGCCTTGGTCAACAACCACTTCCGGGCCAGTGTGCGTCTTGATAACAGTTAGAAAGACGTTATTCAACCCGCATGTATCTGTACCATAGTGATCGATTTGAGTCATTATTCAGCTGAAAGCAACTATCGTCAACTGCAGAATTCTGAAGCATTCACACATTTTATGCAGATCGTTTCTAAGCTCCGAACTATCTCCCTCATTTTTATTGTGATTCATATCTTCCTATCATTAACATATAGTAAAACCGGTGATGACAGGAGATAAGAAAGGTCAAGTAAATACAAGACGTATAATACTGACCCCCAAACTCTACTCTGAGGCACCCCAATAAGCAAAGTTCTCCGACTAGACAAATTCAAATTCCCTTATACTCTTTGTAGGCACCCGACTACGAAGTCCTATATCCATGTGAGTAAATTATCTCTATTCCCATTATTACTTAATCTGGATAACAGCCTACTATGTGAGGCTTTGTTGAGAGCCTTAGTGAAGACGCTAAAGTTCATATCCACGGATAGCTTTTGGTCTCTTGAAGCACACCAACTTCCTCGGGCTGATAGCAAGTTTGCAAGTCATGAACTAACAGTTAATCTGAGTTTCCACCTGTGATTTTAGATCGTTTCTAGCTCCTAATTTACATTAACACGTTGGTTGATACTGGAGCCTCAATCATGGTTGCCTTACCATCTTGAAATTTCTAAGGACTCGAATGATCAATTCATGATTTTCTATTTCCCATGTAGAAACAGACTTAATTTTATGATTTGGTGTGGTAGTTGCTTCCCGAATTCCACTCTGTAGTGGTTAAGTATGGGAGAAGCTTGCTTCGTCAACTGTTATCTTGATCTTCGATTCCCGATAGACCTCTTTTCAGTCGGTTTCTCTTCTTTCGTCCCATGTGCGTCAGTCGGTGTTAAGCTTGCTAGAGACAACTGCACATTGACCTGTGCATCAATAGACCAAGCAGCAACGGATTCGTCTAGATCAGGGCGGGCAGACTCATGTTTATCAGAATGCTTTCCAACTACACATATCTTTGTAACAGTTTTCATTTCCAAGAATGCTGCATCACAGCAGCATTGCTAAGACAACCATAAACGTACGGGTTAACTACACTACTTAAAAACTAAAGGTCTAAGGCTTGTACAGCTTTCTCAGTGCAGCCCTTTCCACTCATCTCACTGCATGCTACAATGCATCATGTATCGACAACTTGGGCGTTAACCACCACGCTTGTTACATTACGCAGTCAATAATAGTGGGCTTTTAGACAGCTGAGATAAACGTCCAGAGACTGAAACGCGATGTTTAATTGGGTTGGACTGAAAACAAACATCCAAACAGTGAACTTTTAAGTCCAAAGAGTACAATAACAGGAAACTCGTTGTACTCCTCAGTAGTATAGATGCAAGGACATCTTTTCGTGAGCAACAGCGATCTTGGGAATACTTAAATTCAAAACTATGCAATATTTGGAAAACATAGATCTTGATACGTTCCAAACCATCAAAATTATAAAATTTAGCTTGATAAAACAAATCACCTTTGTACTGCAGGTAGCTCCGTTTTTATAGAACTCCAAAATTAACACTATTTTCCCTATTCGATCCCCTTTTGCTTTCATTTTCACATACAATGGAATAGCTGGGATTATTGACTATCATATCTCTAAACATTTGTGAAGTTAAAATTGTTCATACATAGTTGTTGGATATTAGGTGTTCGAAATCACCAAGCCATTTCTTGAAATTTCAGTGTCAATGAATATTTGTGGAAAGGTTAAGGCAACAAAATATGGAAGTACTAACATGCAATGTTGTGGAGATCTGATCACTGTACTTTTTATTTGTTTAACTTAATATTTCAGATGAAGGTAAACCACAGTACATTTTTGCATTCACTTCAAACGGTTCAACGAAGTGACGGCAAATAAACTGAAAAGTCTTTAATTTGTAACACCCACAGAATGCAGGTAAATGGAAACTCACTGTTATGTTCCGTTTTAGTGGTTGATCCTGTAGGTGTTCACATTTGATCACTGTTATGTTCTTATGGCCTGTTAATATACCATGTGATAACATCGACAATTAGAACACTGACTTATTAATCAGACCAATGATGCATAAATTAGTACGAACAACCTAGAGTTAACCCTCAGTTCTTATTATTCCTTCGAGATAGCAGATTCTCACGCAATCCAGTCGGTTCAGTCTAAAACACCAATATCACGTTCCGGCATCTGAATGATGTATTTCATATATACGTAGTTCATATACAAGCAAATGAGACCACATCATATAATAAAATAGAAAATAACGATTATACAAGTTTAGGCCAAAAGTGGCCGTGAGTGTGAGATACTGTAACTAATAAATTGAGAGCAACTTCGGAATAGTAAATCTTATATTAGTAGCCAGTAGGTCAAGTGGAGGCTTGTGATAAAAGGAATATGAATATCCGTATTACATAGCTACTGAATAGTTATACAGTAAAAATATGTATATAATAACGGCCAATAAATAGATTCTAGTAGTTACCATTCACTTATTTCTCATCCGGATATAGCAGTCACCATATTAATAGGGTTGTTGGAAAATTTGGAGCTGTTTAAAATATGTTAGTCTTACTTCACTTTAACGTGTGACTGAGTGTGGTGTCTGAATGAACCAATAATTCATTTATATTGATGACTGTTTTGATTTAGAATTCCAAATACAATACATTCGTTCGTGTTCATCTAATACTTCTTAATTATATTGCTTTGTTTCTGGGATTACTAGCTTATACCATAATTCAAATACTCTGAAACATCATATTAGTGTCGCGAAAGAGCCTGTAGTGGATGTCGAGTCGAGGACGGACTATGATCACCACTACAATTCGATTACGCGGCCAAAAACGACTTGGTTCCTTTGATAGCTCGTAAATCAGAAGGCTTTATTAATCCAGATTAAGTATATTTATTGGCGATCTCGTGGTATCGAAATAATACCGAGACGTGCCAAAGAGTACAGGCAAAATGAGCAGTGCGTGAGCAAGTTCGAACCAAACAAGGCGGAGAGCGAAACAAGAAGTGAAACTGATACAGTTAAACAAATACAGTAAAACAATCTCTGGTACAATTGGTTACAATAATAATAATTGTTTCCGTTATTCCAATCGTGTTCTTATCGAGACTGGCCGGTCACTACAAGCCTGTGATAGAACGCTTGGATATACATTCAGATTTTATTGCTTTTGAGGATTACATGGAGAGGTTTAAAATCTGAGCTATGACCAAGGAAGATGTTGAGGATGTTAATATTGTGGCTCACTTCCATACGTTCATCGAAAAAAAGTGTACGGCCTAATAAAGACTTAGGCTATTTCAGACAAGCCCATTTAACTCCCTTATGCAACTCTCAAGCAACTACTGCTGGACCATGTAAAGTATACGAATTTCGATTGCGGTAATCCAGAAAAATTCAATGAAACCACTCGCCAGGATACCAGGAATCCCACTAATTTACTACGTCTCAGTCCAATAGGTTATTAAGGTTATTCAGATAATAATTCGTTGAATTGTGAAACAGTCCAC